AGGGTGTGCTCAGAGGGGTAGGGCTGATGTGTGTGTGTGTGTATGTGTGTGTGTGTGGAGTAGTAGTCAAGGCCAGTCGGTGTGTCGAGGGTGAGCTGATAACAGATAAGAACTTGCAGCCTAATGCACCGTGGCTTTTGTGATGGAGTTCGACAGCAGTCATCCTCAATTTTGCAACAATTTCCGTTTTCCTCTGCCGAAAATGGACAACAACAACAATAACACTAAAAACAAAACCAACAACAACAACAATAAGGGGGAATTGTGTCCAAAGTGGCAACATTTCAATTGGAAAACTCATAAATTTCGAGCGGCGTTTTCAAAATCGAACTGTGCACGGAAATGGGCACCATGCGTGTCCAATTATTGAAATACGACTTTAATTGAATTTCAATAAAATGTTTCAGCATTTTGCATTTCCTACTTTGTTCGGCAAGCATGCAAAACTACAAAATGCCACCGGCTCATGTTTATTTATGGCAAATGTTTAAAACGATGTTGTTGTTGTTGCAATATCAATTGTTTTAATTCAGCATTGTTTTATTATTTGCCAAAGCCATTTACCACGCCGGTTACCACAGTGTCCCGCCAAATTCAATATTCGCGTATAAAGCATCGTTTTCTATTCAGCCATGCTTTCAAAATTGTTGTTTAGAATATGTGATAAGTACACGCTGAGAAAAAAGGTATAAGAAATTGCTTTGAAAACGGTGAAGGTAAATTGTAAACGTGAGAAAGAAGAAATAAGTATAAAATAAATAAATTATACAATTAAAATGGCTCTTAGGCTAATGGAAAACTAAATATGGACTAAGATGTCCAACCATACCCAAAAAAGGTTTTGCTTTTGAAAAACGGATATGTTTGATAAAACTTTCTTAGCTGGATTTTAAAGGTTCAAGTTTTACCATGATTCATTTAGACGCCAAAACATAATCCAAAATAACTGGTTTTTGAAAAGCGGATATGAATTTTGAAGTTGATGAATATGGAAAGATTGGAACCACTCTTAGAAGGACTTTTTGGCAATAGACTATTAAAATGAATTTCTTCTTTCAGTGTGCTCTTAATCTAGATCTCAAACAATAATTAAAAAGCCCTAGTTTCAGGCAAAGTCGATTTTATAGCGTAGAAATTGAGCATGAAAATCGGGTCCTAAATGCATTTTCAGTATTTAGCTAGAGATCAGTATTCAGATAGAGATTCTGATCACTTTTCAAAGATTTGGCAATGGAAAGATTTTACATTCCTACAAGATCTTTTATGCGAACAATTTCAACAATAAATTTGAGCCAGAATCACGTTTCAGACTCCCCGCTTAATATTAATGTGGAGGTCAATTTACAATAAAAAAACCATATTATTATTTGAAAATCGGAACAGATTACTTTTTACCCAAGAGAATTATATGAACTAAAATTTGTGTATGGAAATCAAGACACAATTGCATTTTCTATTTTTCTACTTCAGAAGTGCGATTTCAACTCCAAACGTTGTATTAATCTCTCTAAACTATGCTTAAAAATTACTGGTTTTTGAAAATCTTTTGGCAAAGCTGCAAATATATTTTGCGATCGCATGATCAATTTTATATGTCGTATTATGTGTTTGCAAATCATTATTATAGTATTATAGACAATGATCGCATTGCTTTTGCAAATCGATTAGAGTTCAAAGACTTTGAGTTAGTTCGAAATCTTGACCAGTGCCCGAATTTAGTTTGTATCTTAAATGTAACTGCTGACAGCATCTGTGTAACTGCAAGAATTAAAAGTGTCCTGTTGACTTTATTATTATTGTTATTATTGGCTGCAATATTTCTCGCAGTGTATACATTTTACATATGTATAAAATGGAACTGTTCCGCTATTTGTCTGCACATCGAACCTGATGTCGTTTACAATTGATTTATAGATGCGATATCATCAATGGTTTCTGCTGCACTCCTCACACCCTCCCCCCTACCTTACCACTGATTTATGACGATCTGGCAGCATTAGTGGAAAACACAAAAGGTGGCATCCGGTCCAGTTCAGTGCACCAGCAATAAAACTAAACTAAAGTAAATGCGCATTGGAAATAGTCAAAATAATAAAAATAATAAAATGCCTCCGTTTTTTTTTTTTTTTTATTTATTTTGAGAAGTCAGCCAGCTGCAAAATGCCAGAGTTGCCACCCGCAGCGCAGGGCGTAGCGTGTGTCAGTGTCACTCTCTCTCGCTCTCTCTCTCTCTCTCTCTCTCTTTCTGTGGATTACACGGCAACAGCAAGGACAACAAGGACAATAAGTACAACAATGGCGCATCGATGATTGAAGGTAGGAAGTTGGTTGTTGGTTGTTGGCAGGTCGAATAACGTATTTTTTTGGGTGGGGGAGGGTTGAATTGACTGGAAACCGTTTGGCAAAAGGGTTTCGCAAAGGGGGGATTGTAGGGTAAGGTAAGGGAGGTGGCATGCCCCGCGAATGACAGCGGCGCATGACAAAAGTCACATGGCCTGGCGGATTAGTTACACCTTTTGCACACACACATATCTAGTAGGTTGGCATCTAGGTGGAATACGTTGACATTGTTGCTGCCCGTTGAACTGTGAGTGCCACACACACACTCTCACACACTAAATGCATTTGCCGGTCATGCAACCAAAGAGAGAGACGGGCAGAGAGAGCGGTAGAGAGAGAGAGGGAGTGTAATTGTGTGCGACTTGATTCATACCCCGATTGTGCAGAGATTAGCGCTAATGGCGAGGGCTGTTCACAATATGTGGAATTTATATATGTGCACTTAGAAAAAAGTTAACTGAAATATATAAGTATGGTGAAAAAAGTGGAAAAAAGATTTCACATCTTAGACAATTTATCTTGTTCAATAATAAACTATTTCAGTTCGGTTTTTATTTCCATAATTTTATTAATTTAGGTTTCAATAAAACAAAAAAACATTTCTAAAAAAAGAACATTTTTTTTTACAATCATAAAATGGTTCTAGTTTTCATGTTGATTTTTATTCTTTGGCGATTTTCTAAATTTCAGGTCAATTTTTTTTTTTCTGAGTGTAAATATATTTTGTATATGGGATATGTGAGTTGAAACCTTTCAGCATAATTGAATTTGGCAATTTTGTTTGTGGCTGCTGCTGCTGCTGCTGCTGTTTCTACTGGTTTTACTTTCACCTACTTAAGTCTGAGCTAAAAAAAAGAGAAAAAAATGTCACTGATAACTAAACCAAATATTAGCCAAGTGAAGCTCGTTTTTGGGGCCAAGAGACAAATGTTGAGCGTGTCAACAGTTCATCGGGGCGTCAATTACTTTGCATAAGCCAACTTGCCAGCTAATACAGCTAATGAATTTTAAGTGTTACCAAAGCAGCCCAAAAGAAATGCCCCCCCCGCGAGCGAAACGTGTGCGTATGACTTAATCTGGTCTCGGCCCGCTTAGAAGACAAAGAAGAAGATACCAGACCCCGGACTCAGACCAAGACGAAGACCAAGTCCGAGACGCATTTGGGATATGTGTATTTATGGAAGGCCTAGCACGCTTGATATTATCCGCTTATTTATTGCAGTCGTTAACATATCTTAGCCCACTGGAGTTTATCTTCTGTGTGTGTGTGTGTTTGTCTCCCCCATGAGATGTGTGCTCATCTTGTGGCTGAAAGTAAAATGAGCCCAGCTCTGTTCTCATTCTAAGTGATATTGTTTAGTTTTTGCACGATTTCTAATTTACTGTTGCAAGTGAAAGCTGCTTTTTTGGGGGCGCAACAACAATTGCGTTATTTTCGCTACGTGACAAATTTTGCAGATTTTAAGTGAATTAAAAACTATATAATTTTAGGGGTATTTGTTTTACCAGTGGGGCCATGACTCTGATTTAGAACTGCTTTCAATTTCAGCTGTCCAGCTTAAACTATTCTCGTCTCAATCAATAATGAAGTTTGCCCAAAATAAATGCTGTCACATTAGAGTCCAAACCCAAACCCCCAAAAAACATATTTAGAAAACCATTTGCACAGACCGAAGTGAAGAGCCTAAACGAAATGAAGGCAAACCGTAATTGGCTTTTTCCCCATTGAAACCTACAGGTTCAAGTTGAGGCTCAGCGCGTTGAAAGATAATGATTAATTGTCAATTTGGCAATTGCACTCAGAAAAAAAATTCACCTTAAATGTTTCCTCAAAATTGCGCTCAGAAACAAAAATTGCTCTAAAATTTAGAAAATTACCATAAAATGAAAGCCGCCCGGAAAACTATAAAGTTTTTCTTACTTTTAAAAATGATATATAAATAGAATAAAAGCTATTTTTTAATAAGTAAAAGGCTTGAATAAGAAAAAATCAAAATGAAAATTATAAAGTTTTTCGTCATTACAAATAATTTCTAAGTTTTTATCTAATTTTTCGAAAATGCCATCCTGTAATTAAGAAACGCAAACCCTTGTTTTTAAAAGGCCATAACTATCAATGATGTGAATTTTGTTGAGTGTATAACACATGGCCAGCAGTTACCTTAAAAGCCCGCCAACAACCGGAAGCATCTCTCGTCTCTTATCAGCAGCCGGCTCAGTTGGCCGAGTTGGACATAGAACAGACATAGATGTCCATTTGAGCGCCGGCTGAGTGACTGACTGAGTGACTGACTGGCTGGCTGACATGTAGAAATAAATGTACTAGAAAATTACCAACTTATGTAATCTTGGTTAGCATCATTTATCAAGTGGACGTTGTGCAATTTTTCTTACTTTTGCGGGACGACAGGATGATAGGACGACGACGGCATCAAGAAGTCAACGCTCTGAGGTCTGACGGTACCGGTGACGGTGACGGTGACATGTGTGGGACGTCTCACAGGAAATTGGCATTTGATGTGGTCTCCACGGTTATTTGTCATACCTTGGCCTAATTTCACGAGAGACGCTCCCAACTAATTGAAAAAACAAAAAAGGGGCGCACACGAAAATGTAGAAATTGTTTTGTTTGTTTTGCTTTTACTGTTTTGGCTATTGTCAGTTACGAAAAAAAATAAATAAACGACAAATGTGAATAACTTTAAAATTATGAGTCTCCAAATTAACAGTTTATTGTGCATTGAAAACGAGTTATCAGATAAATTGACGTTCTGTGTGTGTCCGTCTGTCCATAGTTGTGGTGGAAAATGCGTACAAGAATCGTGTACTGAGTATGAGTAACACGCACCTGCGAACAGCATTCAATTCAAAAGAGGACTACGGCATCACACTTGACATCCTTCGGAAGGAGTTCGACGAGCGTTGGCATAACCAGGAGCCGTCACCCTACACCAATCTCGAGGGCTACTCACAGCGAGCGATCCTTGGCAATGGCAGCTTTGGCACTGTCGTAAATTCAAAATGCCCATCCCCTTAAAATATCATTTATTATCCCTTCCTCATCTCTATTTATACAGTTGCTTGTTAAGGAGAAGAAGAGCAAAAATTATTATGCGGCCAAGATGATGAACAAGGACGATTTGGTGCGTCTCAAACAGGTCGGACACGTTCACAATGAGAAGATGGTGCTGAGTTCTGTGCGATTTCCATTTCTGGTCCATTTAATCGATTCCTCCAAGGACTTTGACTATCTGTACCTGGTCTTGCCGTTTATTAATGGCGGCGAACTCTTCACCTATCATCGCAAGTGAGTGCAATCAGATAAAAATGTTTTCCCAATTTTTGAAAATCGTAGTAAGATTTAAATCGCCCTGAAAAAGATCTAGATGGTTTTTCTTGTTTTAAGAAATAATATCTAAGTAGAAGATAACTATTTCTTCAAATTTAGAAATAATTTCTGAATAAAAAAAAAACATTTTCTAAAAATAACAACAAAAAACTCTACAAATTAGTAAGAAAATTGATATACAATAGAAATATTTTGTATTATTAAGAGATATATTTCCAAAAATAAAAATGCAATCCATAATTTTTAGAAATACTCCATTTTAAAAATCAGAAACTATTTATCGAATTTACTGATTCTGGTTTTATATTAGAGTTTAGCGAAAGAGGCTTTTTTTCAAAACAATTTGTATGAATTTATAAACTATCTAAAGTGTTTGTATATGTTGAGCCTTAAAATTTGTTCTCTGAGTGTGGCTATCGGTTATTAGATCGTCCCGGTAGTATTCACAGTCACTTATAATTCCGTGTAATTCCTCCTTCTGTTCCAAAGAGTGCACAAGTTCAATGAGAAACAGTCCCGTTTCTACGGCGTTCAAGTGCTGCTTGCTCTCGAGTATCTGCATCACATGGATCTCATGTATCGCGATCTCAAGCCCGAGAATATATTGATGGATGCTCGGGGCTATATCAAGCTGACCGATTTTGGGTTTACAAAGGTGCTTAAAAGAAGAAGAGAACGATCTATACATAATTTTAAATATTTTCAGAATTTATTCTACTTTCTTTCTCTCTCTTTTCTGGCAGCGTGTTGAGGGTCGAACGTCGACACTTTGTGGCACTCCCGAGTATTTGGCACCCGAGATCATTCAGCTGAAACCCTATAGTAGATCTGTTGATTGGTGGGCATTTGGTATACTCCTCTATGAGTTTGTCGCTGGCCATTCGCCGTTCTCGTTACACAGTCGTGACGTCATCGTGATGTATTCGAAAATCTGTCTGGCCGATTATCGAGTACCATCATCGTTTACGTGCAATCTGAAGCATCTGGTTGACTCTCTGTTACAGGTGGACTCCTCAAAGCGGTAAGCAGCCCTCACTCTGATTGTTGTTGCATTTAATTTACAAAGAGGAAAAAAATGATCATAATTTGAAGCACGCTTCTTTTAGTTTAGGTAACTCACCGGAGGGCTCCGCAGATATAAAGAGTCATCCCTGGTTTCAGGGCGTCGATTGGTATGCGATGCTCAATCAGGAAATATCGCCACCCTATACACCGACAGTATCCAATATTGAAGATCTATCAAATTTTGACAATTTTGAGCCTAAATCTAAATCGAAGTCCAAAATAAATCGCCATCCCGATTTGTTTACTAATTTTTAAACGTTGCTCAACACATTTTTAATTCTTAAAAATCAAAAAAAAAAAAAAAAAACAGAAAAGCAGAAAAGCAGAAAAACCACTCTAGAGTAGAGAGTACTCTCGTCCATTTACAGATATATCTATATTAGTGTAAAAAGAACTCTAAGAAGTATAATCTAAATACAGAAAGTGCTTATGATTTAATATACTTTGCATCCAGAATCTATTAGGAAATCGATATTTATAGAATTTTTTACAAATAAACCTAGTTCTTCAGATTTGATGATCAGATATACACCAAAAGAGTTGGCATCAACATCGATATTTATCGACTCCGTTCGATAAGGAAAGTATTAAAACCAGCTACCCATTGCTTCATTTCCAATATATGAGCATATAAAATGAAGAAATAAGAGGAAAAACATGTTGCTCATGAATTAACTATCAAATATAAACTAAGTATTTGACTTCTTAGCTAAATATATTTGTAATAAAAATTCGAAATTCACTGTGACATAAATAGATCATTCATTGTATATATTTAAAATAATGGGACGACAATCCACTGGAGAACCACAGTACTTTAGTCCCAAGATCGAATATGCCGTTGTACTCGATAAAATGAAGGACGAGTTTAACAAGAAGTTTACTCGCAATACACCGTCACCGACCTGTGGCCTTGATAACTTTCTAGTTAAAGCGACCCTCGGCTCTGGCTCCTTTGGCAAGGTGCAATTGGTCAAGGAGCTGGAAAGTGACAATTTCTATGCCTCCAAGCAGTTGAGCAAAGAGCAGATAATCAAAACCAAACAGGTCTCACATGTGATGAGCGAGAAGCGAGTTCTCAACTCGATACGATTTCCATTCACGGTGCATCTGATCTCCTCGTTTAAGGATACGGATAGTCTCTATTTGATTTTACCCCTCATTTTGGGTGGCGAATTGTTTACCTATCATCGCAAGTGAGTAGTGCTGTTATCGATAACTATCGATATCGATTTGTTATCTGTTATCCGTTATCGTTAGAGTTCGCAAATTTGGCGAGAAACAAGCTCGCTTCTATGCGGCTCAAGTGTTTCTGGCTCTGGAATATCTGCATCATTGCAGCCTGCTCTATCGCGATCTGAAGCCCGAGAATATTATGCTCGACAAGAATGGCTATATTAAGGTCACCGATTTCGGATTTGCAAAGGTTATGCACGTGAGTTTTACTGTCTCGACTACGATTCTAAAATTCGGTTTTTTTCTTCACTTAATTTAGAAAGTGGAAACACGTACAATGACCCTGTGCGGCACACCCGAATATCTGCCCCCCGAGATTATACAGTCGAAGCCCTACGGCACCAGCGTCGACTGGTGGGCATTTGGTGTCCTCATCTATGAGTTTGTTGCCGGTCATTCGCCGTTTTCGGCCCACAATCGTGACGTCATGATCATGTACACCAAGATCTGTGAGGCGGACTACAAGCTACCTGGTTCATTCAGCAGCGCCTTGCGTCATCTCGTCGATCATCTGCTCCAAGTGGATCTCTCCAAGCGGCAAGTCAATAATACACTCTTAAAAAAAAGTAAAATAACCGCACTGAATTTTAGAAAATCGCTCTTAAAACCAATAAGTTTTTCTTGTTATTAGAATTTTTTTCGAAAATTATAAAGTACTTCTGTTTCTAAAATGCGGAAAGAATCATATTAATTTTATTAACTATCTCAGTCGTCTGTAAATGGATTGTTTTAAATTTTAAAATTCCTCGGAAAATTCGACTTCTTTTTTTAAGTTTGACAAAAATGTAGCCTGAAATTAAGTTCTATTGCACAGCTTTGGCAATTTGATTGGTGGCACCAAGGACATCAAGGATCACGAGTGGTTCAAGGAGGTCGACTGGACAACCATGCTAAATCAGACGATACAGGCACCCTATGTGCCAACCATCTCAAATGCCGAAGACATATCCAACTTTGACAAGCAGTCCGAGGGTAAACGGAAGCCAAAAGCAAAAACCGTGCGACATGAGGAAGCCTTTGCTGATTTCTAGGACCATACACACCACACATCATATCATATTCGCATGTCTCATTTTGGTGAAATAATAAAGTTGGTATTGTGCTGCCCTTTCATTCTACTCATGTCGTCTATGCGCAAAAATATCGATAATTGTTTATTACAAATAAAAAACTAAAATGAATATATTTTATGTCGCATTGACACGACTTGATTTCGATAAAAACAAGAAACAATTTCAGTTAGCGAAGAAGGTTTTCAAAGAAGGTTATTTTTTGCTTTTTGAGTCTCCAATATTGGGTAAATATCGGATAAATAATTAATATTTTTTTATTTTTATTATTATTATTAAACAACTCGTCTGGCTAAGACAATTGTTCTTTGCTCTGGGTACACATTTGCCAATAGCTGAACATTTACTCTGCATATATTTTTGACCCATCCCTTCTATCTTCATTGACAAAGCGATTTTACAGAGTATTTGAAATAGTAACTACATCATCTAATTTCTCTTCAAAATTCAATTTAAATTAATTTATGCAAACAACAACTTGTATATCAGTATGACTCATGCTGATTATGATTTTGCCTATGTGAATAGTGATTCATATACTTGAAAAATTCTCGTTCGTCCCGCAAGATTAGATTATTATTGTAGAAGCCACTGATTTTTGTTTAACAAAAACAAAACTTTGTCAGTATTTGTCTTAAGAAATGATTTGTTTTCATTTCATTTATGCAAAGTTTATTATTGTTATCATTAAATACAGCAGAATTGCAGTTATAAACTGAAGAATCTGGATTAATGCGGGATTATAGCATGTCTACTGTGGCCTTGAGCTAAATTATTATTACGAACATATTTTTAGATTATTGTTTTGACAAGATTAAACAATAATGAGTTGAGATTTCGCTGAACATCTATAGAGTGGCAAATGGAAATTAAATGCTTTCATTTAGATTGAAATATACAGGAGAATATAAATATAGTTTTAAAGATTAAACTATATAAATCTTTCATTAATGTGAATTAAACGAGAGTAAATAAAATAAATAGGTAAAATCGTCGATAATATCGATATTACTATCCATGTTCTTGCAGCTCTATTTTGTTTTTGTGTTTTTGACACCCACCCTTCCATCACTCCCTACCTCCCTCATTCTCGCACTCCCTTCACCCTGGGCACCTCCCTGCCCCTCATCACTTGTCGTTCCACATGTGTTTATTACATTTTCACGCCACAAATGTCAAACGTCACCCCTCCATTCGAGGGTCGGGGGTATGTTCGAAGCAGTACTTTTTTCGGTTTAGTTTTTCTGGGAAAACAGCTGGCGGACGATTGAAAATTCTAGCGATTTCCCACACTTGTTGCGGCACATTTTTAATTCGACGAACTTAACTTGTAATTAGACTTGAAGCAGCACACATAAATCACGAAGACTCGGCGTGACGCTTTGTTGAGAATACCATCAGGCAAATGTTTGTCTTTGATGCAATTGGATGGATTTATGGCCCATTTGGTTTATTTATGTGGCCCATCCCAACTAGTGGGTGTACTTCAGCTGGAGGTTGGGGTATTCACTCTAAAATAAATCTTTCTATGTAACATGCAAAACTGATTGCTTTTGAAAATAAATTTCATAATTTGCATAGCAGTAAAATGATTATAAATTTAAGGTATATTTTCAGAGCCTCTCCAGTAAAATAAACTAAAAAAATGAGAACCATTCTAATGATTTAAGGTAAATTAATTTCCACCAAACTCTCGGCTTCCATCTTCACTTCACTTGAGTGTACTCTCTAACAACCCGAATACACTCACTTTTTATTCATTCGCAACTTTTTTTTTTTACATGAAAATTTCGTTAAGCAATGTTTAAGCGAGTTGACAACGAGAAGAAAAAAAAATGTGAAATACAAAAACATACATAAGAAAAACCCTTATAAATCTTTTATACCTTTTATACCGTAGTCTTTTGCATATCTGGCAACATTGATTTATATGCACGACTTAATAAAAATAGAGCGATGGCCAGACAAAAAAAAAAAAAAAACAAAATAACTAAGAATTGCTTATCTTAGACAAGTCGAACATTATATACCCTCGTAGAATGAAGAAAAATTGCAGACAGTTATGTTTTACTACAATTATAAATAAATACATAAGTATTGTAAAAGTCCGATTTTAAAAGTTGTTTGTCCAAATATTTGAAGTTGAATTCTTATATTTAAGAAGAAATATACTTAATCAAATGAAATAAAGTTGAAAAATCCAAGAACTCATTTTCTCGACTGATTTTCTATAGCAGCTATATGAAATACTAGTCTGATCTCAATCATTTTTTATTTTGAAAAGTGGGAAACATTAAATAAGCATTTTTTGTTCGATTTTTACGATATCTCTATAAACAAAATAGTTTCTCTTACAATAACTTTCTTTTCGGCAGATTGTTCTTGAGCGGTATAGATATAGAACCATCTAGATATAGTAGTCCGATCTCAATGATTTATTGATTAAAATTTAGCAATACTATAAAACGCACATTGATTAGATTTCGTGTATATATCTTGTTAAGCAAAAAAGTTATTTCATACAAAAACTCGTCTTTCAACCGATATTTCCTATTTCAGCTATATGATAATGATCAAATTGATATAAAATGATAATACCTGCTGCAAAAATATGGATAAATGCCAAGATTCATCAAAATAGATTTAAAGCACAGGAAACTCTGCTTACACACATAAAATCAAGTGAACTATTAATGCTGATCAAAATTATATATTCCTTACAGTCGTCGCAGATGTCTTCTTTAATTCGTTGCAAACTGCAAGGAAAAATTATAATACAATACGCAAGGGTATACACAAAAAAACTCGACGCCAGGCTGGCCCAAAAATACCTTAGCGAAGCGCTAGCGACAAGGACTCCATTGTCCTTTGTCCAGTGGTTAACAAAACAAAGACTCCCGCAAAAGAAAAGAAAGCAAAATACACAAAAAAAAAGAAAGAAAAGAAGACAGAGCAAAAAAAAGTTATGATTATCATAATTTTTGTTACGTGAGTTTTCATGTGGAAAAGATGAAACATCATCGTCTGCTGCCGGCGACGAGGAGAGCAGAGAAAAGGAGTGGAGAGGGGAGAGTCCTCTGGGCCACTTTGGGGTGGCAGTCGTCATCACTGTAATCATGGCACGCATTTTACTCCTGTTTTTACCTCTGGCTTTTGGCGCCCGACAGCCTGGCGCCATTCACTCCCCAAACCCCCTCAGACAACGCATTCTACTTCATCGTCAGACACAATTTGAGTGTGTGCGTTCTGTGTGTGTGTGTGTGTGTGTTTCGTTGTTGTGCTTTGGTTTCGCTTTTTGCGTAGAGCCTTGGCACCTTGGCTAAATGGCCAAAAGAAGTTATCATGCATTCTAATGAGACTTTTAATTGCAGACCATTGACCACTTGAGGAGCGCCTGTCAGCATTCGCCAGGGCTGCTGCCGGGATTCGACAGGATTCGCCAGGACTCTGACTACTGCCACGTGTCGGATGCTTCGCTCTCGCTTGAGTAGCCTGAGAATTGATGGAACTGCGAGACGAGTCAACAAAGCAACAACGACGCACAACGCACTACACTGAGCAAAAAAACGACTTGAAGTTTAGAAAATTGCACAGGTCAGCTAACCATATTATTCAGAACGTATATATGTACGTCTAAATTTTTCTAGTGATTTTTGCTGAGTGTTGGCACACCGCCAACCCCCGAGCTGAAGCCCTTTGCTCAAAGCGAATGCATTGACAAATTTGCTGCACGGAAATTAGCGATGCCCAGCCTCAGATACATTTCATATTACAGACAGACAATTGAATGCTGAGGGTTGATCTTCCATCACAGAGCCATTGTTGTTGTTGTTAGTCAGCGAGAGTAAGCGAATTAATTGTTGTTTTGATTGCACAGCAAATGGACGCAGCTCAAGTGCCTGGGAAAATCATAAGCAGCAGAGCAGAGTTCGTTTTTGTTTTTTTGTTTTTTTGGGAAAATTGAAAATCTGGTTTATTGAAAAATGCACGGGCTGATATTCGTGACGTAACTTAGGGTCTATGGCTAGCTAGCGATAAATACTACGATTGCTCCAGTTCCACCTCAATGGAGACGGGTGGCAGTTCATCCTTCAATTCAGGCGCATAAATTTTGCCGGAGGCGAGCACAAATGCATTTTTGCAGTCCACCACAAAGTAGACAAACGGACGGTTCACATCGAAACGCTCAACACCCTCCGGTTCCGGTTCCGGTTCCGGTTCCGGCTCCTGCAATATGAAGAGCGGGGAACGGGCCTGTGTTGTGGCTGCTGATAGCGAGTTGGCGCTACTGCCGCCCTCATCCACTCGCACATTGACAAACTGAACGATCTCATCGATGTGCAGATCCTCATCCTCGGACAGCAGACCCAGTTGTGCCTCACCCCTCGAAAAGATGCGCTTGAGTCCCAAGTTCTTCAGCATCGATTCGGAGCGTGAAGTTTCCTCCACCTGGAATTTGGGCAACGTCACATGCAACTGCCTCAACTCGAGGTGCTCGTTGGCGAATCTATAATCACTGGGTTGGAGTTGAGCGATGACCTCGCTGAGACCCTCCGCTTCATTGGGCAGCACAATGCACAAACTGTACTGGGCATTCTCGTAGGGCAGCGCCAGGAGACGTGCCTTCAAATGTGGCAACTCGGCCACATTAAACTTGCCCTGGGCATGCATCATGGGCGTCTTCATTGCATCCTCGCTGGTCATAAAGAAGAACTCATCGCTGCCATCGCGCAACTGATGAAATGGCTGTGCCCAGCTGCCCCTGTAGTAGAGTCCATTAAAGAGCAGCATCTTCGACTTGGAGTCAACGGCGCGACCAGTAATGGAATTGGCACTCAGCGCGGAGGCAATGTCATCCTGCCGGAACAAACTGCGTGCTCCATATGCCTGAAACAAAAGCAGAGGGAGCATGAGCGAGGGAATATCATCAAATATAATCCGAAAAAAATCGAACTGCATTTTATAAATTTGCCAACTTATTCTTCAGTAAGTGAATTTCGAAAATTGAGAGTTGTGGCTTTCTAAAAACTGTTTGTACTTCTTAATTTCATTGTGGATGCTTCTAATATTTTAAAATAATATGTCTAATTTCCAGAGGTGTTTTTTTTTCTCTGTATGCATGGAAGAATAGTCTTCTGTTACGTATCTTATTATTAAACGTGTGTATTTTCAGGTAACCACTTCAGATAGATTTATAGAACGTATAACTTCATCCTGTATGGCAGATGACAGCTAAACTCTAATATTATACGTCCAGCAGGAAATTACATTAATAGTTTTTAAATTTAAAAAATAAATGTTTCGAAAAATCAGAGTTTTTCTTTTCCTAATTTTAGGGTAGATTTTTCTAAGATTTAGAAAATATGTGTCTAATTTTCTGGGTGTTTTCCATATGTGCAAAAACAACTCTAAGCATCAGTTTTTGTTGCATATACATAAATATATATATATATATATTAAGATTACTATTTTATGATTTCACAAATACAAATATTTTAGACAGATTATAAGTTTATAAACTTTAATTTCATATAATTGCCTTTAAAAATCTCTAAAATTATAGTCGAGCCAAAAAATGTCATTACATGCATCTAAATTGAAAAAAATAAATTTCTAAAGTTTCTACTCTTTAGAAATGTATTTTTTAATAATAGAAATTATTTGTAAAAATATATACTCGTAGATTGTTCTTTGGGCGAATTTCTAATATTGATGGGTATTTTCTAAAAATTGATAATGAACATTTTCTACAATTTCCAGTAGTTTTTTAGGTGATTTTCTAAAACTCAATACGGTTTTTATTTGTCAGAATGGGAACTGTCTACTTACCCGCGCCACGTTGCTGAGATGGGATTCGAGTGCAATCATAATCTCATCGGCACCCTCCTTGATCATCGACTTGACGGCCGTTTCCAGTTTCTGGAGGGGTAGACGCACCTTCTCGGGTTCACCATCCGTCACTTGGTCAGCAGTGCTGAGCTGTTTGTGTATCTTCTCATCCTCCTGCACCGTTTCGTTCTCCTCCACATTGGGCTGCTGTTCGCTACCACTGCGTTTAGTTGGTAACCTGATGTCAACATCAGAATCACCACTGGTCACTATTAAAGTATCATCTGGAATTACTGGTTTTTCTGTGCCGGCAACTGCGGCTTCCGTTGCCAACTGGGCCTCGGCTAGAGCAACTGGTTTTTCCACATACTGCTTGTCATCCACATCGCGATCAAATTTGGATGCCTCTTTGTCCAACACTTCCTCGCCATAATTATCACTGGTGGCCAGCGGAGCATCGTCATCATCCAATTTGATGCGTTTGAGTGTCTCAAAACCGATGACATCTTTACCATTGCTGCTCTTGTTGTTTGCATCCAATTGGAGCAATGTGTTCGGCTCACTCCAATCGTAATCCTGCCTGCTGATATCCTTCACATCGACGTAGTAGTAGCTCTGCAGCAGCTGCTTGTAATCCTCAAACACACTATTATTGCGATAGACATAGAACCAGGTCTGGAATGAGGGCAATGTGACAGCCGAATCTCGATTCTGATAGTTGGCGAGAATGCGCTGGAAGGCGGCTCTCAGATCGCCACGTTCTTTGGGAAAACCAAAGACCTGTGAGAATTCCTCGTAGGTCTCGCCCTGTGCTGCCTCTGCGAGCACCGCCAGAATAGTGGCGACTCCGAGCGGGGAATGCACCTGATTGGAATCAATGTCTTTGTTGTGCTTCAACAGCTGCATCGCAATCAGCTGCGAGGCTTCACTGGCAAAGGTGGCCGGCACTTTGTCATCCTCACCAGCCCCAGGCCCAGCCTCAGCCCTAGTTTGAGGGTTAGGCAGCGAGCACACAATGCTGATGCAGCCCAGCAGCGGGATTAGGCCGAGAGCTGCTTTCATTTTAATTAACTACACTCAAAAAACAGCAACAAAGTCTTCTCGATCGGTTGCCGCCTGAAACGCGAATGAAACTCAAGAAAGTTGACCAAAGACTTTTTTATAAAAAGAGCCCAACCAAGAATCGTTGATTCTCAGCGTCGACGTCGACGGCGTCTCTAAACTGGTTATAAAGCGGCAGCGACTGCGGCAGCACTACACTCGGAAAAAAATCGACCAGAAGCTCAACTTATTATTCAGAAAGTATATTTCTAAAATGTACGATTTTTCTTTTCTTAATGCCATTGTAGATTTCTCAAAAATTAAGAAAAAACATGTCTAACATTCAGGGTGTTTTTTTTTTAAATAATTCTTCCTAATAATTAACTAATTATTTGTATTTTAAGAAATTTCCCATATTTATTGTATCTTTCTAGACTAGATTTCCATTTAATTTAAAAAAAATCAGTTTAATTCTAACACAACTTTTGAAAGAGAAAATGTTAAGATATTTTTCTGCATTTTAGAAGTCTATTTTTTTTTTTTAATTATGCTTATCATTTCTACTTTATTGATATTTTCTTATTTTTAATAGATAAAATGTCTAAAAAATAAATCACATATTTTAGATTGATGAGAACTTCTTCTTTCTTCTTTCTCCAGAAGGTTTTATTATATATATAGTTTATTTCTCAATTAAAAAATCTATAATTTTCAAAAATATGCTTTCATATATTTTGTAGTTATTAATTAATGGTAAAAACCAGATAATATTTCTTGTGTTCAAGTAAATTTTCAAAATTTCAACTCTACTTTTTTTGTGAGTGTAACAAATTGACAATCGTTGGGCAGCTTAAACTTGAGCTTGGGCCCAATTGTTAAAGTTAAAGTTAAAGTTAAAGAAAGTCGCGCTCCGAACGAAAGTGGAAGTGGCGTGGGCTCCACACCAAAGTGCTCCACACAAAATGGGTCAAGCAAACAACAATCAATATGTAAATGTAAATAAGTTTAAAAAAAATAGCCACAACAACAAAAAAAAATTACAAAAGAAAATGAAAAAAAGTTCAAAGTCATTGAAATGTGAACAGGTTTCCATAGTATGGTCTTGGTCTACGTGATGGACATTTGATTTTCTGGCTCAGAGCTAAGAGCTAATTGGATTTTGTTGTTATTGTGGATGTTTTTGTTGTTGTTGACACGATGCAGCAATCGCTAAACACACACAGTGAGAGAGATTAGGCAATCTCTTTGTAAATTGTCGCAGCCGATCAGTTCTTTGACTACATGCACACACTTAACCCAGTTTCAATCAATCATTTAACAATTTATACATCTATAAAATTGCAAAAAATAAAAAATAATAAATAAAATAGTAGCATCACTCTTTCAAGAAATGTTTGCAAAGGTAGAACTATTTCATTTGTGAGTTTACGTTTTCAGAAGTGGAAGATTCACAAGCAAAAGGCAGAAAAATTAAGAAAATTAACGAACAAAATAATAATATAATCATGATAATGATAATCATTTAAGATTTTTTTTTAAATTAAATATTATAAAAGCAACTACGCAACAATTTCTATAAAAATGCCAAAATCCTGCTATTATATTTTTTCGATACTTATTGGCGCTTTTCCACTCAAGTTAAAAATAAAGGTTGGAGGTCGGAGTGGGCGTGGCCATCCAATTTTTTATCGATCTATTAGGGAAATTAACAGTCACAGGCATAGCATCTGCCGATCTTTGAAGGACATCGCCAATAGGACAGACCATAATTGCGAAATTGATAAATGCATCTGGCTGGCATATTATAGTCCAACTACAAATAATAATTCTTGCTCTATGCAGGGTATCCGTTAGTCTACCACTTTTGTTCTTCTCCGAGAGAGCTCGACTTGAAGATACTCTGTACTGCATTTGCTGCATTTGGCAACGTGCAATTTATTATTATTGTAATTAGTATTAGTATTAGTAGTATTATTATCATCATTCTTACTATCAATTTATTATTATTATTATAGTTTAGTTTGATTACATATTTGTAACACGCTTAAGCTGGTTTGGATCCATCCTTGTCTGCGACAGGCGTCTACGGAGCTGGTGGTGGTGGTATTATGTTTGGAATGTTAAAGACATGGGGGCGGACACGTGGAACCGACATTGGCGCCAATTGATTCCAGACATTGCGCACCAAATCGTACTCCTCGACATCGTTGAGCGGAGAGTTGCCATTGGAGCCGCCAACGGCAATCAAACGATCTCCAAGCAGAGCACAACCGATCCCATAGCGTTCCACTGCCAGCGAGCAAATAACTGTCCACGTATCGGTGGTTGGATCATAACGTTCCACGGTTTTGGTGTGATAACCATCGCACAAGCCACCCAAAGCATAGATGAATCCATTTGCAACTGTGACACCAACTTCGCCATTACTTCGATTCATTGGCGCCCGAAGGCTCCATTTGTTTGTTTGCGGATCGTAACTTTCCATTGATCGATTTCCTAAGGATCCGCCAATAGCATAAGAGCAACGGCCGAACAACCCAACACCAGGAGACGAACGCGCCGCGGACATCAGCGACACATAGTTTGTTTGCGGATCGTAACTTTCCATTGATCGATTTCCTAAGGATCCGCCAATAGCATAAAGGCGAAGATCCAACACCGCAACTCCAGGACACGTACGCCCCGTGCACATCGACGACAAATAGCTCCAGGTGCGCGCAATGGGATCCCAGCGTTCAACCGTTTTCAGGATGGAACCATCGTCACCGTTTCCACCGACCGCATAGAGGTGTCCACCCAGCACCGCAACGCTAACATTACAACGGGCCGTTCTCATTGGATTGAGTGGAACGCAGGCCATCGTGTTAAGGTCAAGGCTCTCTACAGAGTTCAATACCTGCCTTTCATGGTATCCGCCTACCAAAATCAGTTTGTTATTCATGACAGCGGCGCCAAGCTTACAACGGTATTCGATCGTTTGCTTCCAAGTCGTCCACTTGTTCAGATGCGGACAGTAGCTCTCAATGGTGGTGACGCCCTTGAGGGATTCATCCGTGCCACCCACAGCAAGCAATCCGCAGCAAATGTGTTTGCGGGGCTTGGTTCGTTCGGTGGCAGCAATGAGCGAACGGCGCTCGGGGGGCAGTAAATGCCACTTGAAGGCCTCAAACAGCAGTTGCTGGCACTCGTTGCTGGCGTTGCACACGTTCTCCACGTGATCCACTATAAATAATGGCTGCAACAGGGGCAGTCGCACCTTGGCGAGCAGCTCGGGTATGTGCTGCTCACGAGTGGGTGCATCATGGCGCACCCACGACATCATTGTGTGGAAGACATCCTCCTCGGTTGGCCCATTGAGCTCATCGTCGGACAGCAGCTTGCCCAGCTGATCGGCGTTTAGTTGAAAGAACTCCTGGTCGTGGCACACCTCCATAAAGTGCTGGCAGGTGTACGCCTGCGCCACTCGCAGCAGCTCTGTGCAGCTGTACTGCTCCGCCAAGAATGCGAATCCCAAACAATTGGATGGGTGCAGCTGTCGGGCGAGAAAATTGCAGCATGCCGCCACCGCAGATGTCAGCTGCAGCATTTTGGCGGTGGCCAGCAGCATCTTGACATTGTCCTCGTGCAGCTCAATGCTTCCGGTGTAACAGTGCTGGACGAGCAGCTGCAGCGCATCGCCATGCACCTCGCCAAGGGTTACCTCGTGCTCCTTGCTCTCGCGCAGCGATCCGGCAAACATGGCCAAAAAATATTCACTCGATGCTGAGAGCACCAAGCGATGAACGGACACCCGCTTGCCATCAATGCCAGCGATGAGAACCACATCGCACAGCTGCTGGTTGTCCACAAAGTGCTGCATTCGCTTCAATAAGGTGTCTGCATGGCTGCCCACACTGGAATCCAATATGTCGCCTGTTGTCGAGTCTCGAGTGGAACTCTCTTCTTGGTTCCCATTCACAGATGACATTTTATTTGCTTGTTGATAATTGTCGAAATATTTATGAAAATATAAATTTATTCCGTATAAACAGAGATACGCAAGCAAGAAGCTTTCAAAGCCATCTGGCAACCTGGTTCCTATTGCTCCGATATCCGCAAAGTATCGATATCTGATAGGTTTGACGCGCATGAATATATGACCAGGTATATGCAAAATGTGCTTTATTTTGCTATTGGTAATTGATTCTTATCGATAAGTAATTGAAACTGAGGCAGTTATCGATCAAATGAAATAAACTGCAACTTCTTATTGATATATGAGTACTTTTAATCTCTGAGATCGACTTTTTCATTTAGACGCAAATATTCCCACTTGCCTGTCACATGTGGTGCATTTGCAGACATATCGATATTCAATTATCGTATGCCAAAACCAAAAGTGAAATTTAAAGGGACACATTGCTGAAAGGCGGGAGCAAGCTGGCAGGGTCAGCGAGATCAGCGTTGCATGTGAGGACATTCTCCGTAAGGTGGCGCGCTGAGGGTTAGTGACAAGAACACATGTGGAAAAGAAAAAACGCAATGAAGCAGGTCGTGGTCCATAGCGCTTAAATTTTTGTGCCGTACGGATCGAATGTTGAAATACATTTAGGAGTGCCTTGACCCTCCATATTCGATAGACCTTGTGAAGCCAAAGTGTAAGTGTGTCTGTTTGAATAAATGTTGTGCTGTACTAATTTTGTGGTTTATGTTTAGGTGGCCGACGGTAGGTCATGCCGCAATTCTGTAATTTATGTCATATGGCCCGAAGTTGACGCAAACGACCTGGCCGTCGCGCAAAAATTGACAGATACGCGAGGGAAACACTGGGCGAATACACCATCCATATTGGCAGCGCGCAGGCGCACCGACGGTATTTCTTCAGCCGGTAAGTGCGTTCCGGTACGGAACCATCCATCGGGATAAGCCTTCAGTAACCAACACTCAATCGACCCAGAATCCAAATTAAACTACAAATTGTAAAAAGAAAAAAAAAAAAAACGGCAATGAGAAACACATGTCAAAAAAAAAATCAGATCCACGCCCTATCGAGTGCAAGTCGACTGCGCGCACGTGAGCAGTGCTCCAGCCCACCCACCCCTCCTCCTGTATATTTATGTAAATGTTGAATGTTATGTTAAGCAAATTTGTCGAACGTTATGTTAAGCTATTCGTTATTTATGTTAATGTATTTATTTATTCACGCATCTAGTATTAATTTAAATTTCTAAGTTAACCGTGTTCTTCAACAAAATCCGGCGTCCGGATTTTTGCCAAATTGCGGAATCCATTTTTTTGCACGGGCGGGGCCATACACCGAATACTTATATTGGAGCTATAATAGGGTAGGATAGGGATTGAGGGCCACCTAAAGTAATAGTCATATTTGTTCAATTTTTTTATTTTGGTGTTATCGGATTTGGCAAGATTCCCGATTTAAATTCAAAATTGAATAGCCGTTGCAGCATACAACGCTACCTAGCGGCGTAGTTAGTAATTACTACATTATAAAATATGTTTGTTCATAAATTGTAAGGAAATAACGATGATCTGTGAGTAATTAAATACAGGGGAGAATCATCGGGAGCATGGGATAATGATGGGCAAATCGAATCCGTGCAGGCCCATTGCAGGAAGGGCGGGTACGTCGGGGCCATAACACCACGCCCGTCAGCTGTTTCGTTTGTTTTGTGCGTGCGTGTAGGTCTTTATGTAGTGTTGTGTAGGTCGAGTTTTTTTTTTTGAGTCTGTATTGTCCACGGGCAGGGTTGGAGTTACCCACCTCTGGGAATACTGAGCTAGCCGAGGTTGCCCACTGCGAAACACTGGACGTGTTACACATGCTTTAGCACAAGCCTATTATACCCCTTTGCCATTTGCAATGGTCGTTCAGTTTGTAAACTGGGCTTGTCGCTGTGTTAAGGCCATTGGCAGTAATTCTTAGAGTGGCCCAAGCAAAACTGGTAAGAACATGAAAGGCAAAAGAAAAAGGAAAAAGCTATTGAGTCACCCACGCATGATTTAAACGGGTTTCAGGCAAAAATATACAAAACTCGCCGATAACCAACGAAGGATATTCAAATGATGATTTCACAAAATGAAATGCACATTGAAAAGTAAAAGAATCCACAATAACAAAAACTATTTCCTGTTGGTCAACAGACTTTTGTGTTTTGCTATTATTATTTTTCACTTTTCGTTTTCAAAAATGGAAATGGAATAACTTAAACAAAAAGCTTTGGCTGAACTGCTCCATTGTGTGTGCTAGTGTTTATATATGGTCAACAGTTAAAGCACCCCACTCTACGAAAGGTTGCACATCCTTTATTGATATTATTACGTTTGACATTAAAAACAATAAATAAGAATTCAAATCTGAAATAAATTACAAAACTGTTTGTTTTTTTCTTGATTGGTAAGAGAAAATGTCTTAGTGGTGCTATTTTTTTCGCAACTTCATATGTAGAACATATAAGGCAATCGCTTTGGCAAAATCAACTTTGAAGTCGGCCAACACAATTCGAGGGCACTGAACTTGGCCAACATCGTCGTCGACGTCTTCGTTGTTGTTGTGAGCCGACTTCGTTTTGATTACCAAATGCGAAAAGCGGGCGAAAGCAAGCAGAGCAAAGCAGCGAAGTCGACTTCAACGTCGGCGTGAGCAGCAGAAACAGCAGCAAGCAACAACACCAGGTGTATGTGTGTGTGTGTGTGTGTGTGTGTGTGTGTGTGAATTGCTAATAAAATGTTAAATTTAAACGTGCTTTGGAGGCTTGCAAACGAGTTTGTTGCCCATTTTAGAACAAGCCTCACAAAAAAGTTGCACAATTGCATGTGCTCTGTGCCAAGGTAATGGGGAGAGGGGTGGTTCTTTGATTGGGGGAGGGGGAGGTGGTTGTAGTACTGTTAGAGAGGGCAACAAACTTTATAAACGGGATACAACAAGCCGGCAGCAAATCTTATGCAATTTATTCTAGAAGCAGCAGAACTAGCAGCAGAAAAATATATATAAAAAACCGAAGAAAAAAACAGAACTAGCAGCAAAATTAAGAAAATACAAAAAATTTGAAGAAAAAAATGCAGTTGAATGACTAAGCAAGTTAAGAGCTAAGTTAAAATAAAATAAATAAAAGATATAAAATAAAATGAAATAAATAAACTTGTCTTTCTATAATTTAAAGCTAACTGAGAGTCCAAGACCTGAAGCTAACTAATATTATTATTATAATTGCAGCTGTGCGTTTGGTTCACTTAGTTCATCCGCTTTAATTTTTAAATTTTTTTTTATTTTTTGATTGCCTTTTTTTTTTTTTACGTTTTTTTAACTTATTATTATTTTGGGGAGTTCTTGATCCTTCCTTGGTTTGGGTTGATGGGGTTCTGCATTAATATTGTAATGATAATAATAACAATCAGATTAATAAAATGAATATATGGGAATATATACATAATTTAAAATAAAGACGAAAAAACAAAAATATTAATAAAAATGGGGCAAAGCGTATACTTAAAGGTTTTGTGAAGGTATGTAAGAGGCAGAAGAAAGCATCTCTGATCCCGTAAGGTATATAGTTATTTTCCTGATCCGAATTAAATATCTCAGCCGATCTTTCTCTCTCTCTCTCTTAAGAGCTAGAAGCTTAAAATTGAATACATAAGTTCTCGTATATTATACGAATATCGAATTTATTTCATATTATCGACACCTGTCCCCGTTTCGTAAATATCGATTCAAATTGATATCAGATTTCAAAGATATAGCTCTCTATTATTAATGTGCACCATTATTTTGATAAGCTGTACAATTTTCTCTAAGACTTAAAAGAAACGCAGACTATTATAATAAGATGTCTTGCTGTCTCGACTAGAGTATTTTGAATTGATTTATAAAGATAGATAGCTAGATATAAATATATACCATAGAGTAGCTTCTTATATCTGCTCGAATAACCTATTTAATCTTATTACTATGAACATTAATAAATGATCATTAAAATAATTATTCTCAAGATATTTAATTAACTATTTTATCTGTATATGAATAAAAGCCGTAATCACAATGAGAACAAAAGTGACTACACTTAAAAGTAAGAGTATTTAGAGTGAATTTAAATGATAAGTGTATTGTTTGCTGTGAGGACAAAAGGATAGCAGCCGTCGTCACCTTAGGTCGAGGTCCCATTTTACTTTAAAACAAATACTTTTCGAATTTTTGTTGCAGTACATAAATTCAAAGACCCAAAACCATAAATTAATGAATGCGTCGAGTGCTGCTCTGACTCAAGTTCGGTTCAACCCCCAAAGGGATCTGAATGGGAGATATTAGAAGTTATTATGGCCAATGGCAAACTACGAGAATGTCGCATAAATTAAGAATAGTGCAGGACAACACCTTCTAGTGTTGTAAGACGAGGCGCAAACAGCACCGCGGGGACACATAAAAACAAAAGCACAGAAAGTGGACAATGCTGGGCCATAGTTCTCAGAAATAGTTGGAACCATGACTAATTGTTTGATTTACGCAAAATGTGCTGCTACAATTAAGCATTAAATTTTGGCCAACAAATCTCCACTTTTTGGGGCTTTAATGATGTCCGCTGTCAGCTGTCTGTTGTCAGTTGTCAGTTGTCAGTTGTCAGCTGTCATAAATCGGGCAATACATCAACCAGCAGCAAACACTCATCATAAGTCAAAAGGTGAGCCTGGTCTTAATCAGTTCCAAGTTGCCAGTTGCCAGTTGCCATTTGGCAGTTGGCAGTTGGCAGCCTCGAGGCAAATAATTCTTGACTGGCTGGCAAAATAATTAAACTTCTGTTTATTGTCAAGCAATCGTGCGTTGCCTGCCAGCCTGCCTGCCTGCCACACAGAGAAAGGGAGAGAGGTAGAGAGAGAGAGAGAGAGAGCTTCTTAATTATGTTTGATAAACTAACAGAAGCTAAACTAACCCATCCTCCTCCTCAACCTAAACCTCATCCCTTTTCCTTTTCTACACACATGACACTC